TTCAAAGCTCAACTATGAACCACTAAACTAATCATAAAATCTTAGTTTAACTCCCAATAGCCCTTTAACGACCTATTGAGTCAGAAACAATCCCTCGGAATTTCGTAATTCAATTTCTCTATATCTCAACATAAGAAAATAGGGTAGAATAGGAGAGTAGAAATGTACGAAATTTATTCGGCAAGTACAAGTCAGAACGATCTTTCAGTTGCTCAAGAATTCTTGCCTTAGCATAGGTAAACTCTTGTCCTTATGTGCTTTATGTTTTGTCCCTTCCTTTTCTCTGAAAATCAAAAGTTGACCATGCAATTAAGTCTAAATTTTGGCCTATGCACCATGACACATTGCCTAAATGCTGCAGCGTATGTCACTATGAGAAAACTCTCACTTTAACTCACACGCTTTGCTCTAGATTGCAATTCTTCTACTTGATCATGATCATATAATTGGTCTAACTAATTCAAACATCAATTCATCCATCCAAAATCATAATTAACTTAATTAGTCCATTAATTTACTAATTTATCTTCAATTAGCCATAAGGTTCCGTATCAAAATTTAAGATGTTAGAGAAATGTCACGCCTCAAAAATTGGATGTGATCGATATGGGATACATGCATAAACATACATCCCTTAAGCCTTGATCAAAAAATTTTAATATAATATTTTAATTCATTTGAAATGGGATGGAAAGTCATTAATTATAACATTTTCATATAAACAAAGGAATCCTAATTTTTGTTAAAATTTTGGTGGAATCTCTCTTGAAAATAGGATCTCTTGAAGCCTCTGCAATAGCCATATACAACCCAAATCAGAAACGTGAAGCTATGCTCCTCCATAACAGATAGACAAATAGTTAGCATGGAGCACATAATCATATTTTTAAGGTATAACACATAAGTAAACATTTACATCAAAAGATAGGTATCATCAAAAGGTCTTCTCATCTATTTGACAATGAGCCCCTCAAGATCAATAGGTGATATATCATTAGCATATGCTATCTGAGACCAAAAATATATCCAATGAATAAGTCGCAACAATAAATAATTGAACATGAATAAAAAGAAAATTTGGAATAATTAGCAATTTAAAGAGATAATGATTTTCATAAAAATTAATAAATTTTGAAATAAAAGTGATTCTATATGACTTTAAATGAAATCTTGAACTACTTAATTTTCATATCAAATGTCACCATCATGTGCTTTCAAACAAGCAAATAAATGAAATAAATAATTATAAATAAATTACTAATTCAAACCAATGAGATCTACCAAGTTATCAAATTCATATTTATAGGAGCTTGCTAGAACAATTAACAAACATAGATATACAGTCTATGAGGATAAGTAACCAAACTGTCACCCACCCCAAAAATAGAGGGTGACCGGTGCGAGGTATGAACCATATCGTACACCTATAAGTCTTAAATTGAAAATTTTTCTATTTCTAAAACGTAATTAGATTTATACTGAAATTATGACTTTTTTATAATATATTATAACAAAAGTTTCAATATTTTTGTTAAAATTTCAATAGAGTCTTCCTCATAAACAAGATCTTCCAAAATTTCTACAACACAATGTTTCAAGAAAAAGCTCATGTCAATCAGGAACTTATCTCCTTCCAGGCTATAGATAGATTATATATATCAAAATCTGGACCCTAGCTATATCCGATGTGGAGAACTTAGAATTTAATTTACAGAATACATTTCATATTTCAAATTTTACATCGAAAGATAGTTTAATCTACAACTCCTCAATTTCCTAGCTACAGTGATAAACCCTTCAATCATCCACAGGAGATTCAGTATTAATTAATGAATCTGAGATGAAAATATTTTTCAGTGAATAACATTCTAACATAATTTTAAAGTAAACTCGAACAATTAAGTAAGTAATTAAAAGAGGATAATCTAGGATAATAGATTCACTAAATCTAGAAAATCTTAATCATAATCATAAAATGATAGTGAACTAAAATTTCTTTATTCCATTATGCTTGAACATACCAAATCATTTATGTATAAATAGAGGTGGTACACTTACTAGTTGAAACTACTGAACATTTAAATACACAAGTTGATGAAAAATTTAAAATTTTGAGGACTTAACATAATAGAAAACAAACATGAACACGCAGTTTATGAGAAAAAATAACCAAACGCAGCTTATGCTAGGAAATAGATGTGGAAACATAGTTCACAAGTGTAACTAACTAAACATAGTCAAAGCCACGAAATAGACATGGACATAGGCCACAAAGGTAACTAACTAAACGTGGTTGAAGTCACGAAACAGACTTAGGTACAAGACCGAAGGATAATAGATGTAAGAACTGAGCTCACGAAAATTAAACTTATTAGTCATTGACCAAGATGCGCCAAGGGCTAACAAAGTTGTCGTTAGCAACCAGTGTTCTATATAAAGTCCTCTCAAAATCACTTTTCAAACATGCGAGAAAAAATAGTCATTTCTGAAATACAATTTGCATTCTCAATATTAAACTCACATTGCATGAATCATTTCAAACCTTAATTCAATACTCATTAAAATAAAATTTCATAAATAATGTTCATTTGCATTTATTTGGTAACCAAAATTTTCCAAAGCTAATCCAAAATAATTTCATAAATCTTGAAAATATACTCATAAAGGAAAATACATGTACATGCCATACTTAATTATTCTTTGCCAAAATTTTATATTTTCACATGATAAATAATTTAATTAACAACTTACCCAATATTTACCATAGAAATTGAAAATGATCTACGTTAAAAGATAACATTCAGTTAAAGACTATTAATAATAAATTAACTGGGATGCCATTCACTTACCTGAGATATTTCCAAACATATACCTCACTCCTAATTACTACTTTTATAATATTACCCGTGCCTTAATTCCCAAATGTTCCAAGGGATATTATTGTTATTCCTATTATGCATTCTATATATCAAAATTTTCAACCCAACCAAATTTAAAGAATTGGGAAAGAAAATCTCAACATCAACATTACCATTCATGTATATCCCAATTCTATAAACTTCATTCCTCAAACATTTCATCAATCACTTTATATGCATATAGGAAATAACATAAGAATAAACTAACTTTGTTTTTGTAGTATCCACCAAGTACTAAATCCCCTAATTTCATTTCCATCCTTGTATTATAGAGGCAATCATCAACTACAACAATATACCCAACAATAATATCTTTATCACATTCACTTGTTACCAAAGACCAACATCCACTCGTCAAACATTTCACCAAATGTATTGTGGGCATTCAAAATCAAGACAAACAACAATCATCTTTCTCTTTAAACTTCTTTCCCAAAATTTTTCTAATCAACATCACTTAAATTTAATATACTCCCCAAACCTAGTTCTTTATCAAAATCAATTTAATTCCTGAAAAAATAACATTTAAATCAATTTCCTTCCTATAACGACCAAATACTCAAGGAATCATTTCTTAACTAGAGTGGGTTTCTAAGTTCTCAATTTAAGCTTGTTTGAACAATAATATCTCCTTTGCAAGGACAACAACTAATTTAGAAGAACAGAAATAAAATTTCCAGCAATTACCCACATGACAGAAATTACACAAAATCAACACAAGGGAGAGAAAATGAAGTTTAAACTCACCAAAGAGCAAAGAAGAACATGGATTGAAGGATTTGGCGTCTTCCCCTCATACATAGAACAGCACTGTTGCAGAGCAAGGAGGGAGAAGATACCGACTCTGACGGTGCAATAGACGGAAGAAGAACTCTCACGACAGCAACTAAGGAAGAGAGGAGAAATCAACTAGCTTCCACCACTCCCAACGACAGCATAGCTTCGGCGAGAAGAAGGCTGACGGGAGGAGAGAAGTTTGACTATAAGAGAAAAATCTGACAATGGAGAGAGGAGGAGGAGGAGCACACTGTCGGAGAAGGGAAAAAATGCAGATGCTCTATTTTCTTTTCACACAAAAGAAGATAAAATCTGATCTAAAAAAAATAAAAAATTATAAGAAATGACATGAGGAAAAATTACAAAACAAATTTTTTTTATAATTTAAAATAAAATAAAATAAAATTTTTGTTTTATAGAATCAATTTTTGGATCTTCAAGAAAATTTATCAGTATAAGTTTTAATAAATTATTACTCTCCACTTGTCATAAAATTAATTTAAATAAAATATCAATTGAGAGATTTTTTTTTTGTCATTACACAAACGCGACTTTTGCTATGAAAATGGATGTGAACATACAGTTCATGAGAGTAAATAATCAAATGTGGTTGAGGTTATGAAATAAACATGGACACACAGTCCACGAGAATAACTAACCAAACACGGCCGAAGTTAGGAAATAGACTCAGGTACGAGACCCATGAATAGTAGATGTGAGACTAGAGCTCACAAAAATTAAATTAGCTAGTAATTGACCATGACATACCAAGAGGTAACAGAATTGTTATTAACAACCAGTGTTCTGTACAATCCCTTTAAAACTATTTTCAAACATGTAAAAAAATAATCACTTTTCAAGATATAAATTCCTCTTCTCAACATCAAACTCACACAAATCAATTAAAATAATTAATTTTTTAAATAAATAAATTCATAATTAATATCTCATAAACTCTTCCATCAATTTTTATAATTGTCTTTGTCCAATAAAGGATTACTATAATAACTTAAAAAAAATTAATTAATGTAAAATAAATTTATATTAAAGTATTGTGATTTATTTTATTAATTTTGGTACAAATATCATGAGTAAGAAAAAACGGTGATGTGTGCGCCCGTAAACTTCTGTCATATCTCCTTCAGTCTGAATCATCTTGGTCCAAGGAAAGAGATTTTTTATTTTGCTCCAGCTTTAATTGAAATTATTATAATGCCCTTTTAAAAAAATTTTAATTAATAAATAAATTAAAAAAAAATATCACAGCTGATTCTTCTGTCTGCTCCTCATCTCCATTTTCTCGACTATTCCAGAATGAGGAGGGAGAGAAATTTGCTCTCCATTCTTTGTACACCCTCCGCCTTCCTTTATGTTCTGTCGCCGGTGACTGTGAGTACCGGAGTCTTCCTCTTCATCCTCCTTTGCGACTGACGCCAGTGACCTCCTTACTTTCTTGAGCTGGCTCATGTCTGAACTGGGGAAGAGTAAGAGAAAATCTGTCGCCCTTTTCCTCCTCTTCATAGCTTGCCGCTGCCGTAGGTAAATACGGCAGCTCCGTCCATCACTCAAATCGTGAGTTCTTCTTGCCTTTATGCTGTTGATTTCCTCTTTTCTTTCCTTAGCTCACTGTTCTTCTCCCTCCTCTGTTGCTAGCAAGCTCTGGGTTCTTCAATGTTTTACTATGGAAGTTAGTTCGTTGTTGTAAGAGGTTCAGATTGAGGCTGTCTCTTCTCCTTGCACCACCGCCGTTCTTCTTTTGCCTTTGTCATTGGGTCTCTTATTCCTCATCTTGACTTGCTTCAAGTGCGTTTGACCCTCTCTGTTTCTTTTTTCCCTTGTATGTTCTGTTTGTGTGTGTGTTTAATGATGGAGATTGTGGTTTTTTTTGTCCTAGCCTTGCTGTTCTGCATGTTCGAATATGGAGAGAGAAGTTCAAGCAAGTTGACATATTAGTCTTTTGAGGACGATGAAGAAGTATGGACTTGAATTTTATTTGAGTTTAATTTGAATTTATATATGAATGAAATTAGGGAAAACTAGACTAATTCAAATATGGATATTAGAGAATTTTGAGAACAATTGTTGGGATGAATGGAAGAATTGAAGCTTGGTATTAGTTAAGATTGGACGTTTGTGAGATATTCAATGAAATGGCTGTTGGAAGGAGTTGGCCCATGATGATTAAACATGTGTAATAATTTAATTGTTGTTGTTTAGAAAATTTTTGGAAGGCACTTTTCTTTGATAGAAGTTGGAAGCTTGGTCATTTCAAATACTGATTTAGGACAACTTTTAGTAAGAATTGAAAAGAAAAAAAAAACACTTGGTCTTATGGGCTAAATATTGTTTAAAATAAAGGGTATTTGATAAAATGTTTGAAAAAAGGAATTTTGTATTTAAAGTGGAAAAATATATGTGATAATTATATTATTGTTGATTAAATAATCTTGAAAGACATTTGTTCTTTGCAATGATAGTTAAGGTAGAATTTAAAGGTTTTTGAGAGAGATATTTGAGTTGGTAATTCAAGAACCAAATTGCTATTTGGACATTCATTTGGGATATTTTAGGATGTTTGATGCCATACTAAGAAAGATAAAAGTGAAGGTTTTCTTTTTGTTATTTATCTAAGTTGCTTTGGATTAAATAGTTTGGACGGTAAAGCATGTTTGAGGAAGTGACAATGGTATTACTTGAATAATAGGAATTTAAGGACAAAGCATTGTTCCTAGAAGATTTGTTTGGAAGTAAGTTATACACTTGGGAGCTCTACAGGTAAGTGGATAGTGTCCCAACTAATATTTCATTAAAATTTCCTTTATTCAAATGTTACATTTTCATGCAAATTCTATTCACAACAACAATGTGATTATGAGATATTTTGTTGATTACATTACTTTATTTCGTGAAATTATTTTATCAGAATTGATCATTTTAGTCAATCAGTAAATACAAGTTTGAATTTTAATTGTGAGATTTCATTTTGAAAATTATTGAACTGTTACGGAAAAATGATTCATGTGAGTTCGACATTGAAAGGAAAATTTGATTGAATAGTGATCAATTTCTCGCATGTTTGAAAATGATTTTACAAAAGGGACTTTATACGAAATACTGGTTGCTAACGGCAGTTCCGTTAGCCCTTGGCGCGCTATGGTACACCTAGCTAGTAGGGTGCTGATAGGAGGTGCTAGCTCCGTGCAATGGCCAACGCACGCGGAACGAAAGGATGGTTATTCGTGAGCATAGTACTCACGTTTGTTTCGTGGCTTCAAGCCATGTTTGGTTAGCAATATTCTCGTGGACTGTGTGTCCACATTTGTTTCGTGGCTTCAGCCGTGTTTGGTTATTTACCCTCGTGGATTGTGTGTTCATGTTTATATTTGCGGCATCAGCCGCGTTCGGTTATTTACTCTCATAGACTGTGTGTCCACGTTTGTTTATTGTTCTGATAAGTCTCTAAAATTTTGAATTTGATTATTTGGTGGTTTTATATTTCATTGGTTTTTATTTAGTAAATTTTTACAAACATTTATTTCATTTATGTGCTTTCTTGAAATCAAGTGATAATAACATTTATTATAACAATACAATAGTTTAAGATTTTATTTAAAATTTTATAGAGCTAGTTTATTCTGAAGTTTGTTAAATTTTTATAGAAATTGTTGTCTATTTAAATTACATAATTATTTCAAACTTTTCTTTTATTCATGTTTAATTGTTTATTATTGGAACATTATTCATTGGAAAAAGTATTTTTGGTCTTAGATAATGTGAATGACTTTGGACTTCTAGTTGATCATTGAGGGTCATCTTTTGACTTGAAGTGAAGAAGTTAATGACCACCCTCTTTTTATTGTAAAGATTTAAATATGAAATTTTATTTTGTAAATTTTATTGTAGGAGCTCCACATAACTATAGTTAAAGCCCTTATATGTGTATTATGCTTGATTTGTTTGGTAGAAGGAGCATAGCTCCTTGTTGAATGCTATTTGTTACTAAAAGAAAATACTGTTATAGAAATCTTGAAGTCTTATTTTGAGAATGATCATGTTGAAATTTTAAAAATAAAATAAAATAAAATACAACCTTTTGTTCTTATTATTCATATTGAAAATAATTCAATTTGTTGTTAGATATATTTATGGTTCAAAAATTAGAATTTTTTAACTTAAGGCTTTCGGAATATGAGTTTTGTTCCTATATTCCGTGCCAGTCATGGTTTATTTTCAAGGTGTGACAATTACGAGAACTTTTAAAAGCATTTTTGTCAACCTTAAAAGTATATGATATGAATTCAAGAGATGGAGTAATTTAATTAATTGGTACTAGAAATATATATTAATACATATAAATTGTTTAAAATAATATTTTAATAGAATGAAAATTTGCTAATAAATTAATTAGAACATTATTTACTTATCTGACATGTTCCTAAATAGATATACTTTACTTCTAATTGACTCTTGCAATCATATTTGATCCTTAAATCCCTAGTACCCATGATTTTCTTTTTATATATATATATATATATATATATAATATAATATAATTTATCACCTAAAATTTTCAATCCAAAGGAAGAACGTGGAAAAGGAAAAATATCAACCCTAGTTCTTTTATATCAAATAAGTGCCTTCCATAACTTTTTAATTAACCACAATATAAACATCACATGATTATGACCTTTGAAATCAAGATTTTTTCTAACAGACATTTTACCGAACACTTTATATGCATTAATTTCTAAACTAGAATTCTAAATTCTTTCTCTCCAAAGCTCATCTTAATCAATTTTTCAACATTAACCAACCCAAACAAAATTAACTTAACCCATACTTATTATGATCATGCTTTCAATACATAAATTTCAGCTTAATTCAATTTTTCTTTTTTTCTTCTTCTTTTTTTTTTTTTTTGTTTGTTTGTTTTTTTTTTTTTAACACAGCCTGCACGGACAGCACGGCAGAAACTCAAGTGGAAATTTGCAACTTCAATCATATTACATCACACACTCACACGCACAGATTTATCAAGAAGAAGGAGAAGAGATCAGGATGCTCACTTTAGATGGACCAACAATGCACAAAAGCAAGGGGAGGAAGATGAAACTTCAGCTGAACAGGGGAGGAAGAAACCCTAGTATGGCTGCGATAAAGAAGGAAAGAAGAAGAGGAAGGCACCGGCAGCAACCTCTAACAGCGGCACTACGATTCTCCTTTGGTGACCTACCTCCTCACGCAGCCAATGGCATCAGCACAAAATAAGAAAACAGAACAGAGATAGAGAAGATGGCAGTGGGTCTAAGCATTTTCTGCAACCAAGAATTGAATCAACTTCCTCAACACCAAAATAGAAGGACCCACTGCACAACTCTGACAGAAGCAAAGAAAGAGCACCTCATGATGCGTATAAACAGCGGGCTGACGAATTGAGCGACAACCTGTGATGGTGAGGGATTAGCGATGCAAAGTAGGAGAAAAGGGAGAAGAAATCAACACACCTATCAACACAGATGAAAATGGAAGAATCCGGAGCCCCTAGAAATGCCAGCGTTGGGCAGAATGTGGAGAAGGAAGAAGATGGCACTGGCAGAGTGATTTTCAATTGAAACTTCTGGCTGGTTTGATGAAAAGATCAAGTGGAATGAAAAAAACTCATGCTAATATAATTTTAAAATAGCGCGTAATTTGGTAATTTTATAAGGATTGAAATAAAACAAAATTGCTCCTCTCGTTCCAGCAAGGTTCGAACTGAGACTTGGTAAATAAGTAGTTAGCTCAATTTCCACTAGACCAATATTCTACTTTATTATATCTAATCATAAAAATAATAAAATACACTTAAATTATATCACTACAAATTTAAATTTAACGTGCATTTTTTGGGTTATTACAAGAAAGAGCAAAAAGAACACTGGTAGATTATGTGAAATATCAGGAGAGTTTTGCGTAAAAGACATTAACTCAAAAACCAATTTGTATTGAAATGGAATGGGAGTATGGATAGAACAAACAGTACCGGTAGAAGGCTTGATATACCAGTTTTGATGCTCGTATAGAACATGAGGGATTAGTACAGGTAAAGACAAAGAATTTAGAGGAACAAGGATGAATTACCGATGTAGGCATTTATATTCCAGTGTTGTCTTCCTTTGAAACCAATCATTACACTGAGTCTTTTATACCCGTACAGAGTTCTAGTACCCATATGACTTTGAACAAATAAAGCTCGATACTCAGTGAAAGCCTTTTTCAAATAAATGGAATCAAGGAATATGTCGAGCTTAGTCTGATAAGGATTTTTTTGGTTAGTGTCAAATACATAAACCAAAGAGTTTTGCGAAATAAAGGCTTAGAAACTTTTAAGATTTCATGTTGATATTGCTAGAAAAGAGTTAATACTGGTAGAGCTTATAACTTAAAAAAAATTTGTCAAAGATGAACGATCATAGCTCATTTACACCTTAGTTACCAATTCCTTCTGCCTATTTAATCTTGTTAAACAAAATCTGCTCCAATATATTATCATCAAAACTAGGTCCAACAGTCTACCATCAAAATGTAACTACACTGCAAATATCGTCATTAAAAGTATATTTTTATTAAACCATAAATCTAATAATCATATCACTACTTGTTTTAAAACAGTCCACACTATTAAGAAAGTTGACTTTGCAATGTTATTACGAGAGCTTCTATCACTGATTCTATCTGTGATAGCAATATAAATTATTGTTGAAAGTACACAATCGGTGGCAACAAATATCACTGTGGAAATGAAAAATTGTCATGGTTGAAAATTGAAAATCAATATAACATCACAATTTTTAATTCTAGAATTTAAGTAATATTAAAATTGATTAATTAAGTAAATTAAAGTTTAAGGTAGCTAAATTTATATTGTTTGAGGTATAGATGCACCAAGGATTATGATTTAATGAGATAAAATATGAAATTGAGAAAAAATATTATAATCAAGGTAAATTGATTCTAATGATATTTTTGAAGCATCTAATTATTACTTTATAAAAAACACAAAGTTAAAGGTAGTAAATATGTATTAACATTTGTTTGAATTTAATAATATTTTATGGTAATTGGAAGTTATCCTAAGATTATTTACTCATATAATTTAAATGGATATGGACTATATTTTAAAACAAATTCTAGGAAGAATTACAAAAGAAGATTGGAGAATTTGTAAGATCAAAATACTATATTATAAGATAGAGGAAATTATTCAAAAGAAGAATGATTGAAGTGAAATAATAGAAAAGGAAAAAAAAAGATAAAAGGAAATAAAAAAAGATGTATGGTGGATTTATGAATAGTGGGTTTACATGGACACATATGAACGAAGGAAAAGGAAACAGAACAGTACCTTCATCTTCTTCATTCTGGTGCCGCGTGAACAGATAGAAAGGGGAAGAAAAATGAGCGCACGGCTTAGTGATCTGTTCGAAGAGGCTTCATCTAAGAATGATTTTAAGTATTATAAGACTATATAAGTTTCCTAAATATTTTTCTAGTTATTTTTTCTTTTTCTAGTTTCTGATTTTTTGATAAGAAAATTTTAAGGTTTGATATATTTAAATATTTGGGTGTTTTTATTGATTATTTAGATTTTAATAGAGCTAATGATGTAGGAATGAAAGTTTTTATGATTTAGATTTGGGCTAAGGTGCATTTTTACCCTTGAAATTTTTCTTGAGAAGCAGTTTTACCCTATACTGATAAGTAGGGTAATTTTACTCTTGAATTATTTTTTCGAGAAGTGTATGCGTCTTATAGAAGGATTTTTTTGCCCCTCTAAAAAATAGTTCATGAGTAAAATTGCTCTTTGAAAAAAAATTCAATAATAAAAATATATCTTAACCCTTTAAATTTTACCCAGTTAGTTGATTTGAGGAATTAAAGTGAAGGTTTAGTTAGAAAATTAGTGATTTATAATTTTGATAGTGATATATTTTGAATTTAATGGTTTATTTTGGATTAATGAAGGTTATGTTGATGTGAAAATGGATTGGTTTTGAGGTTTATTATTGAATGTGAATATTCGTGATTTTTGTAGATATTGTAAATGTTGGAATTTTGAGATTTAGGATGGCTTGAGGAAATTATTTTTGTTTAATGGCTCTAATGAGTGAAATAAGGTTATTGAACTATAAGAATGTAATTAGGATGGAGAAATTTATTTGTGGCAGTGAATTGAAATTTTTAAGGAAAATAAATTTTGTAGAAAATTGGGGTTTCCTTGTGATGATTAGGAGTTAATTTGGATTAAGAAAATGTTTGTAAGTTATTGGAATGATGATTTGTGGTTTGAGGCAATCCCTAGATTTTTGGTAATTATTAAATGTGAAATTAAGCTTCCAAGAGGTTAATTATGTTAATGGGAGATTAAATGAGTATATTAGAAGTGAATTAACAATAGATATGATTAAGTTTAAGATTTAAAGTGTATGAAAGAGTGTTAGATTAATGAGATTAATTATCCTAACCATAGGATTAGTGTTGAATCACAGGTATTAATTATGTTTGGCATTATTACGTATGTAAATTGTAATATTAGTGATCATTATGGTGAAGAGCTCTGTATACAGGGAAATTCAATTGCTAAGAGCAAAGGTAACTTTTACTATTATGTTGTGGTGTGTATTGTGTGATTAGTTGTGTGTATTTTTTTAAATTAAGTGTTGTTTGAAAAATATATGTTTTAGAAATGTATAATTACTATTTGAAAATAAATTGCTTGTAGGATGAAAAATATATATATATATATATATATACATATAATGACGTTTAGTATACAATTTTCATGTTTGGAAGAATGTATCATCATCCAGAATTCATATTTGTTTGGAAATCATATATGCATGAATTGCTATGTTATAGGAGGTCATTTGGGAGACTTATTGTTCAGAAATAAATATACCATGTGGTGTGCCCTCATCTGATCCCTAAGTGGCACTTTGTTACTTGAACTAGCTTACTTTTGATCAGGTGAGTTAGGCATATATAGGGCATGGACTTGGGTCTCGAAAAAAGAAGATAAGGTGGTAGTTTTGCATATTTTGGTATTATTATGTTCAGAATTGTTTGGAGTTTGTTCGGATAAAATTGTTCTACATATCCCACTCAATTGTCACATGATTAGTTGCATGGCATCCATTAGGATATAATAGTTTTGGTTACTAGGATCTTTATATGTCATTCCTTATGATTAATATTTTTATAGGGACGAGTCCAATTAGAGAAGCACTTGAGGCTTAGATTTGATGTAGGAACACCATTCTATCTTTGTTATACCTCTATTTGTTAGCTGATGTATATTTGCCACCTTAAGGTTCATCATGTTTAATTAGAGCAAGTAGACTTTTGATTTTGGTGAGATTCATTTAAACTGTAACCATAGGATTGGTGTATGGCCTCATTCGGTTTGACTTAAAGTATTTAAATTATGCTTTGAAGATGAGATGTCATTTCATTAAATATTTTTATATAATTGTTTATATTGTACAACACATTGCTTGGAATGAATGTCATGTGGCCAAGTTGTTGACCCCAATTTTTGGCTTTGGTTTGTATTGTGGTGTTAAAACTTTGGAAAATAATGTTTGCACCCTAACTGGATTTTGTAAGCTAAGGCTTATAGTTGATAGTACCGTGTAACAAATCAAAGCCAATATCTATTTATATTAAATGCCTTGGGTGGACACTTAAAGAACTATGTTTGAATAATTGTTAAGAAAGAGATATAGTGTTTCGGATGAAATTTTGTCCCTAGGAACTCTAATTTTAGATTAATTATATTTTACGATAATAACTGGATTTTAAACTTTGTTTGGAAATGGGATCCCATTAGGTGGACTTTTTTGTTTTAGTAAATAAAATTTATCATTTTAGGCTTTGTTTACTAAATTAAAGCTTTTCTATCATGATAGGATCCTTCCTATCATATTAGTCGATTTCAAAATGGTTTTATTTATTTAAGGAAAAAAATGTTCTACCATGGTAATGTTTGTTTAAACAGGTTTGATTCTTTTCTACCAAATACCATTGTAGTGTTTTCAAAAATAGTTTGTTTTTGTTTTCCTACCATGGTAGACTTCTTTCTACCATGGTAAGCTTTTTAAATGATAAATTTTGTTTTTAATTACCATGGTAGAGTTTAAATAATGGTTTGAAAAAGTAAAGTGTTACATTTTGGTATTAGAGGCTTCTGTTTTGAGGCTCTATGTATTGTTGATACTAGTTAATTATTTGGTAATTGTGCATTGCATACAGCTCAATTGACAATATACATTATTAGTTAAGGTAATTTCTCATTGTATGGCCATTGTGATAATATTTAGGCTAACTTATTTGGGTGTATCTTGCACCCTTTATAGGGAGAAAGGATGATGATTTGTTATCTTTTTACTGTCTTTCCACCTTATTATTAAGGTGTGAAACCAAGACACTCAGCATGTAATTATAATTATTGTGTCATGGATCCATGAAATCTTTGGACTAGTGTAGGAGACAATGTTAAACTTTGGTGAGAAAATATGAATTTTAAAGGAAAAAATAGATATGATGAAAGGTCACAGAAACAATAATGAATAAGAATTGTGATAAAATATCAAACAGTTATACAATTTTTCTTTTCATTATGGGAAAGATTTAAAAATTTTATTGTGTCTAAGTAAATGAAATGTTTGAAAATAAAGATTTTGAAGGCTTTCAATTTGTGAAAATTAAGATTAGGCAGAACTTGACTTGAAAATGATTTCAAAGTAA